GCGGTAGATCGGGCGGGGAAAGGCCTCGGCCTGCGCCTGGATGAGGGGCCCGGAGAGCGGGACGCCGTGCTGCCGCAGCGCCAGGAACCAGGTGTAGACGGCGCGGTCGATCTCCTCCTCGTTGGCCAGCCGCATCTTCTTGCGCTGCGTGCCCACCTCGCCGCCCAGCTGGTCCAGGAACCAGCGCAGCTTGGCCTCGTCCTTCAGCCAGCCGCGCAGCGTGCCGCCGGGCACGCCGAAGTCGCGGCACACCGAGGCCTGGCGCTCGCCCTTCTTCACGCGCTCGATGGCTTGCAGCTTGTCCTTGATGGAGTAGGCCCGGCGCAGCGCCCCGCTGCTGGGCCCGCCGAGCTTACAGCGCGGGGCCGCCCCCGCCGGGGACGCCGGGCCCGGCTCCATGCGGGGCGGCCGCGTTATAACCGGGGCTTAGTTGGGGGGGGGAGGGGGGGAAGGCTGCCTTTTGTCTCGCGCCGCGCATGCGCGGGGTTCTGCCCTTTTTTTTCCCTCCCCCCCCACCCCGAGATGGAATGTTCTGTTCCGACGCCCCCCTCTTTTACTGCGAGTGGGTGCTTCCGGCTGAGCACCCTAGGGGAGGCTTGGGGTGTTCCATGCTTGCCGGGAGGGGGGTAGAGGGCGCATGCGCGGTGGAATGGTTCTTTCTCTCTTCCCCCACTCCTTACTGTGAGTGGGTGTTTCCGGATGGGCTTCCTAGTGAGGGTTTGGGTTGTTCCATTTTTGCCAGGGGGGGTGTTTCTCTCTTCCTCCAACTACTGCGAGTGGGTGCTTCCGGCTGGGTTTCCTAGTGAAGGTTTGGGTTGTTCCATTTTTGCCAGGGGGGGTGTTTCTCTCTTCCTCCAACTACTGCGAGTGGGTGCTTCCGGCTGGGTTTCCTAGTGAAGGTTTGGGTTGTTCCATTTTTGCCAGGGGGGGTTGCTTCCTTTTTCCTTCCCCCAACTACTGCGAGTGGGTGTTTCCGGCTGGGCTTACTAGTGAAGGCTTGGGTTGTTCCAAGTTTGCCAGGGATGGGGTGGAAGGCGCATGCGCAGTGGGATGCTGCTTTCTCTCCTTCGCCCCTTATTGTGAATGGGTGCTTCCGGCTGGGCTTCATAGTGAAGGCTTGGGTTGTTCCATGTTTGCCGAGGAAGGGGGGGTTATTTCTCTCTTCCCCCAACTACTGCGAGTGGGTGCTTCCGGCTGGGCATGGGTTGTTCCATGTTCACTAGGGAGGGGGGTGTTTCTCAATTCCCCTAGCTACTGTGAGTGGGTGCTTCTGGTTCAGCACCTTAGTGGCGGTTTGGATTGTTTCATGTTTGCCAGGGAGAGGGTGGAGAGCGCATGCGCGGTGTAATGTTTCTTTCTTTCTTTCTTTCCCGCCTGGTGAATGGGTATTTCCGGCTGGGCATCCCAGTGGGGGGCTTGGGTTGTTCCGTGCTTACCAGGGAGGGAGGGGTGGAGGGCGCACGTGCAGTGGAATGTTTCTTTCTCTCTTCCCCCTATTACTGTGAGTGGGTGCTTCCGGCTCAGCACTTTAGTGGCTGGTTGGGTTGTTCCATGCTTGCCAGGGAGGGAGGGAGGGCGGGCGCATGAGCTGTGGAATATTTATTTCTCTTCGCCCCCCTAGCTACTGTGAGTGGATGCTTCCAGCTAGGCATCCTAGTAGCGGCTTGGGTTGTTCCATGTCTGTCCGGGAGGGGGAGGAAACCGCATGCGCAGTGGAACATTTCGGTTTTGCGTCCTCCCGCCCTCCTCCCAGCTGTTGTTAGTGGGTGCTTCCGGCTGGGCGCCCTGTTAACCGCTGGGATCGGTCCATTCCTGCCGGGGGGAGGGGGATTCGGCTCGTTCCATGCTGTCGGGGGA